CCCCCTAGAACTGGAGTTAACAGACAATTGTGTGAGTGCTAGGAATCAAACTTGGGTCCCTTGGGAGATCAACCAGTGCTCTTAACCACTGAGCCATCTCTCTAGCCATCTCCCTATGTTCTTATCTTGCTTCTTCATGGTCCATGGTGCCAACCGAGGTTGTCAGCACAACAAAATCAAGCCGGGAAGACGAGAACAAATTATTCTGACATTTTTTTTTTCTAGCTCCACGTTTGTTTATCATGTTCGTGGGACCGGCGGTGATCACAGCTCTTCCAATCCGTGATTTCAGATTAAGCGGTGAAACCAGCTTTGTCTCCACAGCAAGAAGCTGGACTATGGCTCTGAGTGTGACCTGCTAAGACCCTGGCACTCATCTCTTCAGTCTTGTTGATGCTCTCGAGGGGACCAGCCGAGGGCGTTCATGTGCACCATTACAGCAACATGGGAAGATGGCAGCATGCTACAGCTCTTCTTTCTTAGAAGGAAGGACTGTGGCAGAGCTTTATGTAGGGGGAGATATGGTGCTGGAGTCAAACATGGCATCTCTGAGCTCACGGATAAACTGCACAGAGTCATCAGAGAGTTGAAACAAATCCAGCAGAACCAGTACATCATCACATGGAGGGGGGGGGCGCAATTGGGACCAGGCAGGGTTACTTGTGTGATAATGGATCCCATTAAAGCATCATCCTCATTGTTTTTCCATTTATTTATGTAAAGATGCTTTCTCACATAGCCCAGGTTGCTCTTGTGCTCACTAAGTCAGTGACGATGACCTTGACAGACTGCTCCTCCAGTCTGTGTTCTATGATTACACCACCACACCCATTAAGGCTTCATTTGCTTTTATTGCTTCTTCTTCTTTTGTGGGGGAGGGAAGAGTCTTATGTAACCTGGGCTGGCCTTGAACCTTCTGTGTGGCCCAGGGCTAGCTTTGAACTCCTGCTCATCATGCCTCTACCTCCTGAGTGCAGATTGCCCCATCTGTCTTTCTTGTGGGGGTGGGGAGGGAGACAGAGTCTTCTGTATCCCAAATAGCCTCAGAGATTTGTGGCAAACTTCTGGCTTCAGTCTCCTAAGAGCTGGGATTGTAAATGTGTGCCATATGCCCAGCTAAAACACATTGCACCTTATTGCCTATTGCTAAACTTTGAAATGTATGCTACAGGGCCAGCAGTACCTCATGACATGTAAGGATTTTCCAGTGATGCTCATTGTACCTGCTCTCTTACGGGACACAAGCTTCCAGGGATGCTTATAATCCCAGCACTCAGCATGTTCAGGCAGAAGGATTATGAGTTCCAATCCAGTGTGGGCTACACAGCGGGTTCCAGACCAGCCTGAGTTACATAGAATAACCTTGTCAATAAGTAAGAAATTTTCCCAAGGAAAGATGAACTTCCTCAAAAGGAGCCATAATTTCCCACAAAGAGAAAGAATTGGGACTGGGTTTGTGGGACTGTGGTTTACACTCCACAGGGGATTGAGGCCAACAGGACCTGTGTTCTCCCCCCTCCCCCTGCCGCCATTGTCCCCTTGCTCCAGGAGACGCTCTTCTCCTTGCTTGGAGCGCCCTCACCTGACAGCTGACTCAAGGCTAGGATATTGCCAGTCCCCTTCCATGCTGACTGAGAGAAGGGACCAGAGGAAGGCCCAGAGAAGGTTCCTGATTAGAGGAAGGATTCCTGAACTTACGGATGATCATGCACAGGCTTTGATTCCTTCATCAAAAGCTCCCTTTGAAAACTGCTCTAGCCCAGAGATGGTGGCGCAAGCCTTCAGCCGGGAGATAGAGGCCAGCCAGGGCTACCCAGACAAACCCTGTCTCAAAAAGGAGGGAGAGAGAGAGGGAGGGGAGGGGAATGGAGGGGAGGGGAGGAGAGGGAAGGGGAGGGAAGTGAAAAAGAAAAGAAAAGAAAACGAAGAAAAGAGTTCTAGAATCAACCAGGCATTGATTCTAGAGAACAGAGAGAGCAAGGAACCAGCGATCTGGTCCTTACCATATCTGCTCTGCCACACTAACCCCCACCCCCATTTCCTGTTAAATGAAGGAGGCAGAGACACCAACCAGAGGGTCTTTGTGAACTCCTTAAACTACATAGGTCTGGGCCAGAGATGTTCCTCTTTGAGGAATCAGTAACACTGCGGGCATTTGGGGAGTTGCAGGACCGGGATCAGGGTCAGGTACCAGTGAGTTGTCACCCAGACCCAACCATCTATGGGACATAAACAGAATCCAGGGAGAGCCATGAACAGAAGGGGCTCTAGAGCCAGACATGCTGATGCAGACCCGAGATCCTAGCGCTTGGAAGGCTGAGGCAGGAGGCCCGGGATGGACCGGGAGTACCAGGCCAGCCTGGGGTGCATGATAGAACCCTGTCTCACAACCGGCTCAGCAAGTGTGTTTGCTAAGCAAGCATGAGAGCGTGGAATCAAATACCCAAAACCCAAGTTAAAAAACAAAATTGTGGTTGAACATGGACCTGTAAGGGAAGAAGTGGGAGAGAAGGGAAGATGGCCGGGGCCTGCTAGCTATCAGCCTGGCTCTAGCTACAGCGAAAGACGGTCTCCAAGGACTAAGGCAGAGACAGAGCGGGACACTCAATGTCTCTTCCAGCCTCCATGCACTTATAAAGGCGTAGGTATCCCGCTCCCCCACCCAGTTCCAAAAGCAAGCCAGGCATGGTGATATACACCTGTGGTCCTAGTACTTGGGAGATGGGGGTAGGGTTGGGGGTTCAAGGCCAGCCTTGCCTGCAAAGTGACTTTGAAGCTAGTCCAAGCTATATAAGATCCCATCTCCAAAAAAGCTAAGAAGCAGGGCTGGAAAGATGACTCAAGAGTTAAGAACACAAGCCAGGCGGCAGTGGCACACAGCCTTGATCCCAGCACTCGAGGCAGAGGAAGGAGGATCTCTGTGAGTCTGAGAACAGCCTGGTCTACAGAGTGAGCTCCAGGACAGCCTCCAAAGCCATAGAGAAACCCTGTCTCAAAAAGCAAGAATGAGAGAGAGTTAAGAACACTTGCTGCTCTTGAAGAGGACCAGTGTTCAGTTCCCCACACCCACGTGGTGGCTCACAACTGGCTGTAACTCCAGCTCTAAATCACTGAACCCCTCCTTCCAACCTCTGAGGACACCAGGTACACATGCGATACATACAGTGACAAAAACACTCAAGAAATAAAATGTTTAGTCTAAAAAAAGAAAAGAAAAATAGACAGGCAAGTGCAATAGCTCAGGAGGTAGAGATGCTCTATATCACGTCTGAGAGATGCTCTATACCACGTCTGAGAGATGCTCTATACCACGTCTGAGAGATGCTCTATACCACGTCTGAGAGATGCTCTATACCACGTCTGAGGGATGCTCTATACCACGTCTGAGGGATGCTCTATACCACGTCTGAGAGATGCTCTATACCACGTCTGAGTTCAGTGTCTGGAACCCATGTGTGGAAGGAGAGAGCTGACCTCTAAGAGTTGTCTACTGACCTCACACGCATGCACATAAACACACACACACAATTAAATAGATAATAAATAAATAGTTGCAATTAAAATGTTTAATGCACACGGATTTCCAAAGACAGCTATCTACAAGCTGAGCTTGGCTCATCCCCGTGTTCAGCGGCCAACAATAGCTTTTCTGCATTTGAGGCTGGGACATCAGTGAGCATGCCAGCCCTGCTAGTGACAGAAGGAAGAGGGCAGGAAAGCCAAAGCCCAGCAGGGTATCCAGGGCTCAGCAGCAGTGAGTCTAGGACAGAAGGAAACTCAGAACCCGTGGGAGGATTGGGGGGGGGGGATGCTGGATCTGCGGGGCCAGCCTGTACTTTTTGTTTTGGCACACTTTTCCTGACCGAACGCCAATGTTCTCACCACGTAAATACCAGATGACATTAATAAGATCAGTCTATGAGACATTACCTGTAATGATGCCAGGCTGCTTGCAAATGGACTTGAAAAGCTTGGAGAGCTTCGTCAGGATAAGGGCAAGGGAAATAGAAAGCGCTTTTAAATGTTGAGGGGTGGGGAAGAGGCAGCTCAGAGGCCCTCTTGCCTCCACCAGAATGCAGCCTATCTATGAGAGTTTTGGCTACCGAGGGCTGAACCCTGAGGTTTCACTGCCACCAAGTGGAGATGCCGGGCATGACAACTTTGGCTCACTAAAGCTGTAATTACAGAAAGGCGGGACCCTGAGTCTATTTCACAGATTGAAGAAGGAAGAGAAGAGGGAGGGGAAGGGGGAGGGGAGAGGGAGGAGAGGGAGAGGGAGGAGAGGGAAAGGGGAAGGGGGAGGGGAGGGGGAGAGGGACAGGGAGAAGGAGGAGGAGAAGGCCGCGTTGGATTTGATCCTCATTTTATCATCACCCATTTAGCTCAAAGAGATGTGTGCTGATATATTATTTATGTTTTATTAAAGCTTGCCTGGGGATTCAGAAAGCAAAGTCAGCCACAAACTTAGAAGCCGGGCATGGTGATATACACCTGTGGTCCTAGTACTTGGGAGATGGGGGTAGGGTTGGGGGTTCAAGGCCAGCCTTGCCTGCAAAGTGACTTTGAAGCTAGTCCAAGCTATATAAGATCCCATCTCCAAAAAAGCTAAGAAGCAGGGCTTTGTGTGAGCTGTTTCTCTTTAGGACTGGATCAGTCTTGAGTAGATCTCTGTAGCCTTGGATTCACTGTGTAGATCAGGCTGGCCTCAAACTCACAGAGATCCACCTGTCTCTACCTCCTGAGTGCTGGGATTAAAGTGTGTGCCACCACGCCCAGGCCCATATGGAGACTGTTATGGGGCAAGTTCCTAACTAAGCTAATGTTTTCATATTACTTCCATGTGTGTGGCTAAGTATGAGGAACCTAGTTCCTACATAATAGATTCCTAATCCTCTGATTTCCCCTGACCTCCCCATGATCTGTGCATATCCACACCCAGAAAAAAAAATTTAAAACATATTAATATTTTTAAGAAAGTAAATAAATTTAAAATTTAAAAATAGTTGTCATCACATCTTTATTGCATACCCAAGTGAATAACTTATCACACAACAAATGCATCCCTCCCCAAGAATAAACACTGCCCACTTACAGAGTTTGAGGTGAACTCAGGATAGATCTATTACTGAGGCTGGGGAACAAGAAGGGGGGAGGAGCCCATGTCAGGAATTTATGGCAATCACAAAGCCCAAGTTCTCCTGGCAAGAAGAAACAGGCCTTGTCCACGCCAGTAATGTCCAGAAGAGCTCCTGGCAAAGTTCTCGGAGGTTTGGGGTTGGCAGCAAGTCTGGAGGTGATATGCCTTTGTAAATCAGTGTCCATACCGCTCAGGCCACTGTGGGGCAGTGTACTGAAAGTAGACACGTGGTGACCTTAGCCTCTCCTACCCAGGCAGGAAGACATGGGGGGCAGGTCCAGGTTAGCTTCCAGTGTAGACTGATATGGACAGGGTGGACACCCACACCTTTCTGGGTTTGTGCAAACTGCAGTTCTGCTCTGTGCCAAGTGATCCTCGTGGAACCCACCCTGGGTTAGGTGAATTGGTTTCCGAAGACGGACAAGTCAGTGAGGAGTTAGATGAGCAGATGTTTGCTCACATTCATGGGAGAGGTAAGAGTCTCAGCCCGAGTGGCCCAAGACTCCCACCTCCAAGAAGTCCTAAGAATGGGATAAAGGGAGACACGGGAACACATGAACAAGCAGTCTGTTAGGAGCAGCAGCCCCAGACAGAAGGCCAGTAGGGAGCAAGCCTGTCGTGTGCAGTCCCCTAGGATGCTCCAGGGTTCAGTTCACATCGGCAGGACTCCTGGCTGGGCCTGTTGCCTGACTCTTCTCAACAGTTAGCTGTCCGTTTTCCGTCCCTCATAGTCATTGTATGGACTGGCCGGGGCCTGGGCCCTCGGAATAGAGAAATCCTTCGGAGGACTTCGGTTCTGTAAGGGAAGCGATCATGTGGTTAACCCTTCCATGGCCGTTTCAATGAACCTCCAATGCCCTTCTTGAAAGGTCCCTGCCACCCCAAACCTCAAAAGGCGCAGTGTAGGGAGGCAGGCATGCCATCCCTTCAGGATGGCCACTCGGGAGCCACCAAAATGATGGCAATATCTATTCCCAAAGGGAGGGGGTGAGTGAGGAATGACAAAGGTCACTTACCTGCAGCTGAAAATGAGTGGAATAAGGTGCATAGAGTGTGTTCCCTGTCTCAAGACCTGAAACAGAGGGAGAGGGGAGACTGAGGCACCCGGGCCTTTCCTCACTGTATCACTCGTCATGGCATCTGTGACAGTCGGTCCCTTGAGGCCTCGGTGGTTCAAATGTCTTGCAGGGAAAGAACACACCTTCCAGCCCAAAGCCAGACCCTGTGCCATCCCGGGGCCTCAGGGACGTATTCATTTCCTAACCTGGGAAGAGTTTGTGAGTAACTGGATTGTGTGCATTTGGGGCGGTCATAGCATGTTTGAACTTGAGCTGGCTTTAAAGCAGCTCGTTCATTTCCTGACGGATTTACCTGCCCCCCCACTCCCCTGCTCTACACGTCTTCGTTTAAGGTAGTGTGAGGGCCTGGCCAGGGTGGGGCACATCTGTAATCCAAGAACCTGGGAGGTGGAGGCAGGAGGATCAGGCGTTCAAGGCCATCTTCAACTACGTCAACCTGGGTTCCATGAGACCTTGTCTCAAAAAAGCAAACTAAGTACTGTCAAGGTAGGCCTGAGGATTGAGTTCCATCTCAAGACCCATATGGTAGAAAAATCCCTGAAACTTGTCCTCTGACCTCCACATACATGTGTGTTGTAACATACACATACATGCACACACACACACAGAGACACATACACAGAGTAAACAAATAAGCGGTATTAAAAATTTTAGACTAAAAATAAACAAGTAAAGATAGTACGAACATAAGGTGTGCCCTGCCCTGTAAGAAATACAATAAACACACAAATCACAATGGAATGAGGCAAACCCTAACAAGAATACCTGGGTTCTACAGGCATGTGTGTGTGTGTGTGTGTGCGCGCACACACACACACAATAATAGAGCCATTTCTAAGACAGGCTGGGGAATGCAGGACTCTGAAGCGGGCAGAAAACCACATCAGACAAGCAGCTGCATCCTAACCAGTCATAGAGACAGGGGCTTCCGTTGTGGAAGGCCTCACTGCTTAGCAGACCTGACGAAACAGGATGTGGAGAGACATGTTAGCAGTAAAGACAGTGACTAGAAAGCCATCTGAGAAAGGAAGCAGCCAGGGGTCCAAGACACAAAAGGCAAGACGTCAAGCCTGGCATACACCCAGTCTTAGCACTCCAAAGGCAGAGGTGGGAGGGAGGGTTAGCATCTAGAGGCCAGTCTGGTCTTCACAGCAAGCACAGCAGGGCTACATAGCAAGACCCAACCTCAAAACAGGAACGTCTTTCGTACAGCTATACACACAGAACCTCAACCACACATCACTCACTAGGGATTTCCCTCTTTTACCCTTTCTTGTTCTGGTTCATCCTCTGTGGAATTGTGTAGAAAGTTTTAGATGAAGACTCCAGAGGCCAGTTTCCAGTTCTACTTGACCACAACTGGACTTTTCCAGGAGCTACTAAGAGACTGTCCTGAGTCTCAGAAGAGACTTCGGGTTTTTGAACAGTAAATAGATTATGGGGACTTCTGAAACTGAACTAAGTATGTTTTGCACTATGATATGGCCATGAGTATTATAGTAGAGCCAGGGAATGGAGTGTGGTGGTTTGAAAATGAGAAGGCTCTCGTGGGCTCATATGTTCAAGTACTTGGTCTCTAGTTGGCAGAACTATGTGGGGAGGTTTGATGGGTGTGTCACTGGGGCGGGCTGGCTTTGAGAGGTTGAAGCCCCACCCCCACTTCCCATTTGTTCACTCTCTACTTCCTGCTTGTGTTGGAAGGCGTGTGCACTCAGCTTCCTTGCCATAATGGGCTCTTGTCCTTCTGCAATTAGAAGCCAAAATGGTTTGCTTTGGGTCTTAGTACTTTGTCAAAGCAACAGAAAAGTGATGAATACAGGCATTGGTTTATTAATACAGATGTTGGTTTACTCAAGATCAGAATCTATAAATAGCCTGTGAGTCCCTTATAGTTTGGGGGGTGTTTGGATTTATTTTAAGATCTATTTTTATTTTATGTGTGTAAGTGTTTTGCCTGTAAGTACACTGCATGTGTGTCTATTACTCATGGAGGCTAGAAAAGGGTACAAGATTCCTGGAGTTGGGGTTTCCAGTGGTTGTGAACGTTGGTGTGGATGCTGGGCAATAAACCGATCCCCTACAAAAGTAGCAAGTGCTTCTAACCATGAGCCATCCATCGCTCCAGCCTGTTTTGGTTTTGTTTGTTTACTATTTGCTTGTTTGTTTTCTGAGACAGGGTCTCATTACAGGCCTAAGCCTCCATACCCCAGTACTGATGGTTACAGACAATGATTCTGCCTCTGCCAGTCTTTCTCAGTTTTTGCTTCTGGATTTGGGGGTGTTTTGTTGTTTGCCTTGGTCACCCCCTCCTGTCCCTTTCCTCTTTCCCATAATTGGGATAGTAGGGTGGCTCTAGGTGCCTTACCTGGCATTACTATCTGATCAAGACAAAACCAGGACATCAGGGTCGTTAGGAAATGTCCTTCTGCTGTGAATGAAATTACTGGTGTGCTTTCTATAAAATTACAGGTTTTATACTTGGGAAAGTTTTTGTAGTTGGTTTGTTTGTTTTGTTTTTCTTGAAGGTTTTTGTTTGTTTGTTTTAGGTTTTTTGTTGTTGTTTTGTTTTGTTTTTTCGTTTTCACTTTTTGAGACAGGGTTTCTCTGCGTAGCTATGTCTGTCCTAGAACTCACTATGTAGACCAGGCTGGCCTTGAACTTACAGCGATCCACCTGCTCTGCCTCCCAAGTGCTGGGATTAAAGGCGTGTACTACCACCCAGCTTGTTTTTTGTGTTCTTGAGACAACCTCATATACCCTAGGCTGGTCTGGAAATCCCCGTTGCCAAAAATGACCTTGAATTTCTGATCTTCCTGCCTTTACCTCCCAAGTGCTGGGCTTATAACTGTGTGCCACAATACCCACTTTAAATGGTGCTGGAGAGTCTCTCTGACTTTTTGTTCATGCTTAACAAGCACTGTACTGATAACCTACATGCCCAGCCCACAAGGGTGTGGGTATTGTGAGGCATAGTCTTTCTACACGACCCATCTTAAACTCACGATCCTACTGCCTCCATCCCCAAAGTGATGAGATTAGATGTGTGTGTGTGTGTGTGTGTGTGTGTGTGTGTGCTCGCAACACACATGAGCCTGAACTACCATGCCCAACTTCTCTCCCCATCTTTATACCAAGGCCTCCCGGACCGTACCTTGGGTGATTTCCTCTTGGGAGTAGGCCCTGTTCTCTACACCATAGCTCTGCTTCATGAGTTGAGGTTTACAGAAAGCATCTTCAACTGGGTAATCTGTGGGGCTTCGTTGCCTTGGGAGCAGTAGAAACTCAGGGAAGACGTAGAACACCAAGAAAGCCCAACCATTGGCAACCAAGGCCGTGCAAAGAATCGTGTCGTCCCACTCAGGGCCCAGGTCGGAAATCAGGAGCAGGATGATCCAGGCCACCCAGATGGCAATGGAGACAAATGAGGTTAAGCAAATGTGGGCCCCGTGTCTCTTCCAGCCAGAGAAGGATCCACAGAAAACGAAGAGGGATGCCAAGAAGGTCAGCGCCATCAAGAGGAGCACGTAGATTAGCAGCATGACGAAGTCCTCATTGCGCCGAGGGGCGGGCAGTTCGGAAAAGACATCGACATTGGTCCTGTTCATGGTGAGGACCAGGTATTCAATGGCAATGATGTCCTGGACTAGGCTGAAGCCCACTGCCAGGCTTAGGATCACAAGCCACGACAGGGGCTTCCTCCCTCGGACCAGCTTGATCAAGTCGACAGCGTGTGCCAGGAGGCAAGAGAAGCAGACAGCGAAGAGGACTCCGAAGAGGAAGAAGCGCGTGGGTCCTGTGGCCCCATCCAGCTTGATGATGAAGGCGAAGGTGAGGCCAAAGACCCCCAGCACCCCCAGGAGGAAGAGGAACTGGGTGGGGAGCACCTTTCGCCTGTTGGAGTCCTGCACTTTGCAGATGAGGATCAAAAGGGAAAACATGAAGGCCACTGTGGCCACAGCCCCCACTGCGGCCAGTGTTTCCAGGGCGATGCCCCAGCCTTCAGCCAGGTCACACAGTCTGTAGTACCTGGGATCCAGGTTTGAGCGGCAGCCTTTAGGGGCAGACATTGTGTTTGCTCCTACAACTGAGGAAAAGAGGAGGCATAATTAGGGAGCAGGCAAGCCTCTGAGACACAGGATGGAAACCGGACTGTGTTTCGTCAGTCTCCCTTGTAAACGTACTACATTAAAACTAACCAAGGAGAGAGTCTCCTTGTCTGGGAGCCTACAGGTGGTTAACATTGCTGCGGATGGAGAGACTGAGCCACTGGTGAGTGTCCATGCTTCTGTATGTAACCCTGATTAAACTCATTGGTCCCATCCTCCAACCTACCCACCCCTACTCATCCACCACACGCCCTCACCTGTAAAAGCCAACTTTTCTGTTCCTCCTGTGACAAATTCTAAGGGCCAATGAAGAGAGGGAATGAATCTCATATTTCCCACTTAACGCTACTAATCTCTTTTGAGTTGTTTTGTTGTTGTTTGGCTTTTGGGGTTTTTGTTGTTTTTAATTTGGGTGGTTTTTTGTTTGTTTGTTTGGTTGGTTGGTTTGGTTTGGTTTTTATTACTCTTAATATGACATACAACCTCGCTGTGTATCCCTGATGAGCCTGGAACGTGATATGTGCCCAAGCTGGCTTCAAATTTTAAGTGCTGAGATTACAGGCATGAGTTCCCATGATCAGTTTGGAGGATTATTGGCTTATTGTCTGTCCTTTGAGAAAGATCTTTCTATAAAGCCAAGGCTGGCCTCCAGCTCGCTATCCTCATAGCTCAAACTCCCACATGCTGGAAAGGCTAGAAGCTTCCAGCTGAGGGATGACCCACACAGCCCAGAACCTGCTAACCCATTAGAACCGGGAACTGGCTACACGGACCACAGCTGAGCTGACTCCCTGTGTGTCCTTAACTCCTCAGGGAAAAGAAAAGGCCTTTTTTTTTTTTTTTTCCTTCCTGTCCCATACCCTCGTTGCCCAAACCCATGACTTCTAAATACTCTGCACAACAGGAAGACAAACTATGAAAGAGATAGGGGTTTTCACATGAGGGAGCCTATGTTGGAAAGACCCTGAAATTCAACAGGGTTAAGACACGGCTATCTATGACCCTGAATGTCTTAATAAACTAAAAATCCTATGGGTTACTATGGCACTATCACTTTCCTTTTATTGTCTGTTACTTGTATGTGTTTCTCGCTCTTTCTCGTTAGTTTTTCTCTCTTCCTTTCTGTTCGTTTTATTGTTTCTTAAGGCAGGGTCTCATGTAGACCAGGCTAGCCTCAAACTAGCTTTGTAGCTAAGGAGGCCTTGACCTCTGCTGCCTCCTGAGAGCTGGGATTACAGCCCTGTACCAGCATCCCTGCCTCCTTTCTCTCTTCAGCTCTCCTCCCGCTGTGGGTTTGCTCAGCCCTCAGCAAGTCGGGAGTCCACTCAAGAATGGGGGGGGGGCGTTTTCTACAACCAGCTGTGCCTGGCTGGGAAGGGGGTAGTCACTCCTCTAGTGTGGGATGGAGAATAGGGAGGGAGAAGTCAGAAATGAGAGGGAGGCCAGGGTCCGGAAGCACTGAATGGAACCAGTGTATGGCATCAACTGCACCAGGGTCTCTCTCCAGGAAGCAAAACTCTATGAGTCCAGTTGCCTCACCGCATAGCAATGCTTGCAGGTGAGACTTTCCAGCCATATTAGGGGTGCCTACTTCAGTGGGATACTGTGCCCGCCCAACAAATAAGGACCACACTTCCTCTTTCTCCCATCCCATGCCTTCATGATCAAGTCAAAAGGCAGAGAGAGCCATTCTCACTAACCAAAGAGCAGCCTTGCGGCATGTACCAAATTCAAATACCTGCCTCCCCTAAGGAGGCGTAATACTTAGGAAGCTGAGGCAGGAGGATTACTGTGAGTTGGAGGCCAGCCTGTACTACAAGTTTTAGGTTAGTTTGAGCTAAACAGTGAGACCCTATGATGAATAAATAGCTAAAAAGTTTGGTGAGACAAGCCATCCTACTAAAACTATTCTATTCAGATAGTAACACGTGAAAAAGTTATGTAGATGAGTAACATATATACGCATGAATTCACTTACGTAAATGCATATTATATACACTGGAATTTTAAAAAAGATTTATTCATTATGTATACAGTGTTCTGCCTGTATGCCAGAAAAGGGCACCAGATCTCATTACAGATGGCTGTGTATTGTGCTTGTCTGGAAACTGAACTCAGGACCTTTGGAAGAATAGGCAGTGTTCTTAACCACTGAGCCATCTCTCCAGCCCATACACTGGAATTTTTAAGAGTTTATTAACTTCCATTGTATGCATGCATGTGTGTCTGTGTGGGTATGCTCATGTGAGTGCAGGTGCCCTCAAAGGCCAGGAGAGGGGATCAGATTCCCCCAGAGCTGGAGTTAGAGGTGATTGAGTATTGGGTGCTGGGAAATGAACTCTAGTGCTCTGGAAGAGTAGCAAGCATTGGGAGCTGCTGAACGGTCTCTCCACCCCCATTCACTAGAACTTCATGTACAGTGTGCTACAATCAACGTTCAACTCTGCCTCCTTAGTTTTTAATGAAATTTGGCTCTCCAGGGTTCACTTTACATTTTATAATGAGTCATTCAACAATGTTCACTACTATGGTCTCTGTAGGGCTTGTCCTCCCTATTCCACAGCTCAGCTCAACCTCAGTCCCCACTGTGAGATAATAAGAGGGTGGAAACTCCTGGACAAAAGTGATGGTACATGCCTATAAACCCAGCATTTAGAAGGGGGGGAGGTAGGAAGATCAGGAGTTCAAAACCAGCCTCTGCTGCATATTCACTTGGAAGACATCCTGAACTACATGAGAATAGGGGTGGCTCAAAACCCAAAACAACAAGGTCACTTGATCATACAAAAACATTTAAATGGCACTTTTGGGGGTCTTAGGGGATTAGGCAAGGCCATTAGCACAGAGTGCCCATGACTGAGTCCTCCCTTATAAAAGGGAGCGAGACCAGAAAATATACACGTGCACCCAGGGATTTCCCGTTCCATGTTGTGTGATGGTTTGTGCTACCATGAGACTGTGTCAGCAAGAAGGTCATTCTCAGATGCCACCCCTAACTCTTGGGCTATAAGAATAAGCTTTCTTCTCTATATAAAGCTACCCAGCCTCAGCTATCTCACTATAGAAATGAAAGATAACTCCTAAAGACTTCCTGAGTCCCACAGTGTGCCACAAGAACTCTTGGCTGAGAACATTCCTCAGGAGTAGAACTCTTACTTAGAATGCAAAATGACTTAGGTCCAATCCACGGAAACATGCACACACGCGCGCGCGCGCACACACCCACACACACTAACCCAATCTCATCTAGCAGTAGAAGGGCAAGTCAAGGGACACAAGTCTGACAAGGCATGTCATCCTTCCCTGCCTTATTTCAGATTTGTCACAAAGGTCGCTGCTGGGATTATTCCTCGTTTCTCCACATTCCCTGGTCCTCCTCATACCACTGGATCCCTCTAGGTTCTGATGTCTGTGGACAAGCAGCTATTAATCATAATTACTTGATCTTTAGGAAGGACTTTGAACCTGATGATGAGTCTTGACAGAGATCAGTGACCTCTGGCCTGAAAGACAGTTGCAGCACTAAACAAAGGAACACGGGCATTGGTCCCTAGCTTTATTGTGGTTGTTCAGGACTATGTCCCAACTCCAAAGACCAGGGCAGTTGGTGGTATGTCTTTTAAATATCAAGCATCGATCTAGTTAGAGGTGCGTGTGTGTGTGTGTGTGTGTGTGTGTGTGTGTGTGTGTGTGTGTGTGTGTGTGTGGAACCCAAGCCCTCACACATACTAGTTATATGCTCTACCCCGATGCCACAAATAACCTTTTAGAACATTTTTATAATTTGTTTTTTGTTTTTAAACTATGACTTTTGCACTTTTGGTTTTTTGAGACAAGGTTTCCCTGTGTAACACAGTCCTGGCTGGCCTGGAACTCACTGAGATCTACCTGCCTCTGCCTCCCAAGTGTTGTTTTGTTTTTAATGACCCAATACATTTCATTAGGGCTACATATAGGAACACGTAGTTATTGAAGAAAATACCAACCCCCTGGTCCCCCAGCCCTATCAACCAGTAACTACACACAAATCCTCAGGGAGATGTGGGGCCTTGTGAGTCCCCCCCCCCACATCCCACCTTTCATAATCGGGTGTGGACAAGCACCGATTTGGTTTTTTCAGACAGGGTTTCCTGTAGCCCAGACTAGCATCAAACTTGGTCCTTCTGCCTCTCCCTCTCAAGTCCCGGGATTACGGGCCTGCACCACCCCAAGCAGCAACAATGGCAAAAGGTCTTAGTTGAGTATTTTGTGTGGGGGTGACTAATTTTATGGGAATTACCAACGCAATTCACCTATTAATTCACCTCCTCCACCCTTTCCCCAGCTGGCTGGGATTGCTCAACAAGCCCAAAAGTGCCCTAAGTACTTTGAATTTAGTCAGAGGAAAACAAAACTCACTTGAGAAGCAAGGGTGTATTGAAAAGCTGCTGTGGCGCCAGAATACGGTCCTAAGGAGAGAGAAACCAGGAAGGCGCAGCCTTTGGCGGATACTTCCTAGAGAAATGGGCCGTTGGGGGTAAGCTTGTAGAGCTTAGCCTGACCCAGCTTCCTAGCCACTCTCTGCTTCCTGGTGGAAGCCATGTGACCAGCCACTCATAAACTCCTGTCACCACACCCACACCCGTGACCGGCTGTAGCCCCTCAAATGCCGAAATAAGTTCTTCCCCCTCTGGATGGGTCTTTGGTCACAGCAGCAATCAGAAAGGTCACTAGTATAACTGGGTTTCAGGTACACACTGTATGGACCAAGTCACTAACCCTCTGAACCTGTTTTCTCTTCTGTGAAACAAGGGAAGTACTGTTGAAGCAGGGGGCTGAGCCCATAGTCAGCATCACTGGGCAGTCCACGCAGACAGCTTCCAGAGTTTTCTCCCAGCCCTACCTTCTTCCTCACCCCACCTCCTATCATTAAAATATGTATCGAAAACTTTGAAAAACCCAAAACCGGGCCTAAGGGTGAGCGAGGTCAGGGCAGAGA